GCTGCTTATGGAGGAGAGTGGCCCTGGGAATGGATGGGAGGGGAGGAGGTCTTCCGTCGCTGTCGATGGCAAGCGCTCGAGGGACTGGGCGTCTTACGAGGCTTCCCGGTTTTTTTTTTTATGTTTATGCTTGGTCTGGATGAGATTCTCGGGATGGAATTCGGTGAAGCTCCGAATTCCTGGTTCCCTCTGTATTTTTTTTTCTTTCTCATCCTGTGAGCACTTCCCTGTCTTCCTCTCCTGTCTGATTCTTTTTCCGATCACTCGGCCTCCGTCAACTGGACTTTTTTTTTTTTTTTTTTTCTTTTGGGGGGAAGTGATTTCGATGCTGCTCGGCCTCGTAATTCATCCGTGCTTCAACCTTCTGGGTTTTCAGGTTTTAGGATTCGTGGACAAGTATTGCCAGTTAACAGAATAAGAACTGCAACAGTTGTTAATTTTAATTTTTTTATTTTTAAGAGTAAGCCAGTGAGGCACATCCACGATGTGCCTCACTGGCTTATTGGCTCACTGGCTTATTGCACTTAATAGTTGCAAATACACACGTCCGTGGCCTCTCACATAAGCTTAAGACTGTATTCCCTTTTTTTATTATAAATAATATGCTTAAGAATAAATCGTCGATTTCCTCTTGGAACCATTGGCCTAGAGTATATAGTGATGCTCCCTCGGTCCTTTCATCTCCTTTCATTTCTCCTTCTTCATCTAACCCCTTAAAAAAAAAAATTTTTTCTTGTATGAATGAACAACACGTTTCCTGCTCAAATATCTTGCAGGTAGGTAAGAACGGTGAATAGGAACGACCATGAGGCTAGATAGATGCATATACTACAAATGAACACTGTGAGTCGCGGGGCTCGCTCGAAATCAAAAATACTCGTAGCCTCTTTTCTGAAAGCTCCAACTGCCATAGTTTTCGACCGATCTAACTATCCCAGCTGCTCGCATGCGGAGGGGAGAAAGTCGGAGAACACATGTCCCTCAGCCAGATTCCACGTAGATATCTAAGGGAAAGGGGGAGGGGGGGGGGGGAAGGGGGGGGAAGGGGGGGGGGGGAAGGGGGAGGGGGAAGCCCTTGAGGGCATAATTTCCACCGCGGAAGGAAGTCGTCAATCTGCATTAACTTGAGTTTGTGAGCAATTTTTTCTCGTTGTGATGACATTTATCTACGTTGTTCTACGGGCTCTTGCCTACTCCCACGACAGCATCGGGATTTCTACGGCTTTCAATTTCTTAGTCCGAGTAACAAAGATATATATTTTTAAATCCTTATTTTCGAAGGAAATAAATCCACGGGGAAGAGTTTGAATTTCTGGAATAATTTGCTTTCACAGACAGGATGGTAAATTAATTAGCAATAAGTTGAGGTATAATTCATCGCAAATTTTCGAAGCAATGAAGCACACGCGTGCTGGCTATACGATCAGTATATGCACAAAGAGCGAAGGAGAGAAAACGAAACATTTTTCAATCAGTAGTTGAGGGAATCTCATTCCCACGTAAACGTCATGAATCTTTAGGATTTATCAGTCATGATCACAGATCGGCTCAGGAAAAAAAAAAAATTTGTTCACTGTGGCAAGGAGCCAGATTCGTCGCTCCTCAAAAAAAACGATAGTGAAAGCCATGGATATGGACATTTGAAAAGTTGCGAAATTTGAAAGTGCATTTGAAAATGCGAGCGAGGCATGTTTTGGCAATTTTCGCATTCTACGTGCCGTTGACCTCGGCCCCGATGTCATCGCGGATCATCGAATCCAAGGTTCGCTTTTGTCATTCTACTTTATTTCGAATATTTTGAGCCTTGTCGGACGAAAAACGCCCAGGAGACGGAAAGGAGTCGTCGCGATCCCTCCGGTGCGCGACGCGAGGGTGCGAGGGTGCGAGGCGGGGGAGGCGGGGGAGAGGACCCAGAAGCACGTCGAGAAGCCCCAGGAAGGGATTCCCCGATCGGTTCTTTCGGGTCGAGAGGGGCGAGACCCGACTGGATCCAGCAGGAGTCGAGAGGGGCGAGGCCCGACTGGATCCAGCAGGAGCCGCGCGATCCGCAGCGGCACGCCCCGGTGCGCGAGGCCGTCCCGCGTCGTCCAATCTCCTGTTGGCTCTCTGCGTCCTTGCCGCTTCCTGTTGCGTCTTATTTGCTTGGCTATATCTGAAAGCCTCGCGGAAATGAAAGCTTCGATGTATGTGCTCTCTCCGGGTCCGTTCTGGCCATCCGCGTTAGAAAAAGGAAGATGTAGTGACTCGAAGCCCAACTAAGCCTCCCCGAATGATCGATCCCTTGTAGCAGGTCAGGCTAAGGTCAAGAGCAGTGGAGACTCGTAAAACGCTGAAAAGTAGATATAGTGCATGCACACTTCATTGATTGATTGATTGGGGGGGGGGGGGGGCCTCTTGCCGCTGCTGATAACTGGATTAACTGGATCTCGAACCGAACCGAAAACTATTTCCTTCTTGGAAATTAAAACAACCGAAACTGAAACTTTCAGTCCTCTATCGCATCAAACTGCTACGTTCTGTTGGTCGTCAAAATGATCATTCCTACTCGTCGGAATGATCATTCTTTCACGATAGAGAGATAGCGGGAAATGAGCTCACAATGAGCTCATGTCGCTCATCCGACGAATCGATCTCAATAAAACTATATCGGACCGATGTTAACACAATGTGGTGCTGGGGGAGTTGGGGCGTGATCGGTCTTTCCGCTGTGCAAATGTGACCTTTATCAGTTTTTACGCAAGCAATAAATTCAGCAATCTCGTGATCACGAGGTCTGCTTCGATCACGATGCTTCCGGTTTTAAATCGTATCATCTTATCGGAGTCGAAGAATCGTTTCGATCTCTGATGACAGGGATGCACGCTCCATCTCCCCGATGATCGCATGGAGGTTATTATATAACTCAGATATGCTTTACGATGCCGGTTTGACATTTTCCGTCGAGGGGCAAGTCACCTCACCGATTTCCTGGTTCCTGTGGCGCGGCGGTGCCGGCAGGACGCGAGTGACGTGGAGGGGCAAGGGGAAACACCTACTCCCTGCAGCCAATCGCGTGCCCCGACGGACGCGCCACGCTGCGGTTGCGGCACGGACGGGAAGCAGCGCGGGTGATGCCTCGCGACGCGGTCGGTCTCGTGCAGTCCGGTTGCTGCCCCGGGTGGGTCCGGTCCGTCCCGTTTCGATTCTCATTGGGGACCTCGGTACCGAATTCACTCGATTTTTGACTCGGAAGGTGAATGCGCTCGGCGATAATCGATCTGTCGGATGCGACAGATGACTTAGCTCTTTAGAATTTAAGCATTCGGAATTTTCTCAGTTTATGGATGGGTCGGACTGCATGTCCTATCGGTCCAATCTTCTGTGTAATTCTGTTCAGGTTCAGCATATGCTCTTCCCCTGGCAATGTACTAAATTTAGGACTTGGTGCAGTATCGCGCTTTAAGGCATATCCATGCTATGTAGTCGATTTAACAAAGACTTTTTTTTTCTTCAAATATATGAAACATTGCGAAAGCTTGGTTTAAGTGCTGGATAGTCTGCTAAATTTATTCCGAAAATCACTGTCCAGTGAAAGAGATTAATGAATTACCAGATACACGTCGGTCCTCTCCCCCCACCCAAAAAAAAGAAAGAAAAGAAAGATGAAGAAATAAAATGAGATTCAACTGTTGACAAAACAAAGGAAACGATATCAAGACCTAATCAAATCTGATTAGATAATATTAAAAAATGACTGGGTGCATTTTCAGTCCTCCAAGCCTGCCTTTCGAGAGCATTGAGGATCGAATGCCTCCAGGCCAGGGGGCATTAGCCCTCACGGAGAGTTGAGAAGGGCGCACGTTCTCGGCCGTGGAATCCGACCGAAATTTATGGAGGCCACGATGGACCTTTCTCTTTTCCCCGATAGGGAAAAAGAGAGGAGAGGGCCCATGCCTCCTGGGGTCCAAATCGAAGCATTGAGAAATGCAATGAAGCAACGAGAGCATGGAGCCGTTGGGACAAGGAAAACGCTTCCGGCTTCCACTCGTCCCGACGGGCTCCTCGTGGCATTCGGAGGGACGAGGGGAGGGGGAGACGTGTTCGGAGGGAGTGGTGAGTGCTCCGCGCAGATCCGGTTTTATGCCGTTTGGGTCTTCACAACCGGTTTTGCTCGTTCTGGGGTCACGTAGTCGATGGCGTTTCACTGCAACGATGCAGAACATACGACCTCCTTCCAACCGGATGTCGAGAAGATGGCCGACAGAAGTCGAAATCGTAATTTGGCCATTTATGGAATTTAGGCCGTGCGTCACTCCTACTGGCTTTTTCAGCTTGAGGGAAGAAGAGTTTCGGACGTGTCCTTTTCGTGGCATTGTTTCTGATAACATTTTGGCAATTGAACGGTTCGGTGCCAAATAGCGCAAAACCGCATTTTTAAAAGTAAATTTTACATTTAAATGTTCAGAAAAATACTGCAGACCATATATCTGTGACATGCAACTGAAAAATTTGCCCCAGTGACAGTGGCAAGTACCGTTCAGTGACCATCTCTAACTTCGATCGCAATTTTCTCGTAAATGGACGTAGGAGCCACATGCTGTGTTGCACCGAGGCGATTCTAAGGCATTTTTCCTGACCCTGACTTTTTTTTCATACCAAGAGAATAAATTTCCATATTTTTCACCGGAGGTTGAAGCGTTTTCTGACAGACGCCTTTCATGAACAATCTCTCCTGTCTCAATGGTGGAGAAAATCGCCACGAGATTGCTATGCAAATGTTGCGGCAACGCAACAGAATTATGTCGCCACTGCTGCAACCTGTATTAATTCTTTACACTTAAAAAATTACAATTTGGTCATTTGAAAAATTACCACATATAAATGATACATTTTTGTTCATTCCTTTCCGACACAATTTAAATTTAAATTCTTCATATTGTCCTCACGAGATGAACGTGTTTCAGGATCAATTCATATAGCAGCAGAATATGCCAGGAATCTCTCACAATTGAAAAACAAGGTGTCGTTAAAATAGCCAGACTTTATTTCTTTCCAAAACGAGAACTTCTAATATGGAGGTGAAGATACACTCATCTCTGTCGGATCTAAACTGATCCAGAGGTTTGGAGACATGGAAACAAAGGAATGATTGCTTTCTGAGGTACACTGAACAGGGATCACGGGACACTTGCAGACTCACAGATGAGCACTCATTAACAGTTCCATGCAAAGGAAGTGTTGAATAACATGAATGAGCATTTCTGAGGCAACTTTAGACTCTCAATATACCACATTTTGCATAGGAATGCGAAATTATTAATAGAAAGAAATGAGCAATAATCTGGAAAATAATAAATCATTCCCTTTGTTCAGTTTATGCAATTGATATCCCTGTACAAGAAAGAAAAAAATTCAAAATACCAAGGAGGTGATAAAGGTAATTGGTGGAGCATGTGAACCAGCACATCTGGTTCCAGCAGAGTAGCACCCTAGATCTGGAGGTAATCTGAGCATGTGGAAGTGAGAGTGCTCCTGTGACTGCGAGGTAGACTTCTCACCCGATAATCAATCATGACAGACTCTCTTCCAGGAAGACTTCATTCAAAAAGACAGAGGGTGGAACGAATCCGGTCCATCCAGGCAGGCGAAAGACAAATGTTCGACTGCAGAACGAGACTTTGTTCGGTCTGACTTCCCACAAATTGCCTGGACACTGCAGCAAGCGGGCCTGAATGGACGGCAAGTAGATTAAAAAAAAAAAAGGGAGAGCTTTGTACAAAGGAAGGGTAAGTCAGAGGGATAGGATGTAAATTGATAAAAATGTCCTACAACAAAAACTCTAGCATAAATCTCCAGGATAAACATTCAAAAACTCTCAAACGATCAACATTACACCACATGTGTGTGATGGTGTGGAATGCACAAGTCCAGAAACACAGATCGCTATCCTATTCCTTTCTCATCCCATCGTTAGCTCTCTCTCTATCTGTATATACATGAAAAATAACTTTGATTGGATTGCTAAATCATAAAAACTTGTAAATAATTTACATACAAGGAAGAGGAAAAGGAGGAAATAAGCAAGTGGGACAAAGAACAAGAGTCGATGAAGTTGATGATATAGAATCAGAGAGAATATTGCACTTGGAACACACCATGAGTCGCATTTCGACTACCGGTACTCAAATTGCCACTACCTCTGGCATGAGGCACACTAAAAAAAAAAAATTCACTTCTATCTTGAGCCGTCACAAGTTCCTCGAGCTGACCTGGATACAAGGCTGAGCATATCAGGTAGAATGATGATTATTACCCAGAGCTATTATGCACAAAGTACTGAGGTAGCAAAGCGGAGCATCTCCTGATTGAAGCCGACCTACAATGGATTCTCTAGGTCTCAATAAATCTACAAAATAGTAAAAGTTCGCATCGGCAGTGCGGAGGTACAGCCAGGACCCGGAGTAGCAATCGATCGCTATGTGTGACCTGAGGAGAGGAAGTAACCCTAAAAATCTCATTCACACGATTTCATAAACTCGACTGTGCATTCACGCTGAGTATAAAAATAGGTACAGGATTCCTGGAAAGCACAGGCAACACCAAGCATTATCAACACTCATACAGAGATGTTAATATCCCAGTTTAAGTCAGATGACCTTCCTCCTGCTGCCAGAGTTAAAGTCTGATATAGCCATGGTCAGGCTAATGATGGTGTCTCTCTGAACAAATAGGTGCAACAAATTATTTCAGAAAAAAAAAATTAGGTAGAAACTTTGAACATGGAATAGTGAAGAGACTGAGCTCAGGCAGCAGGAATCATAGGAAATATCATCCAGGATTAGGTACTGCACCTGCATATAAATGAAGGAATAAGCAAAATGTAAACTCTACAAATGAGAGTAGAATAAATGACAAGGAGAAATGAACAACTTACACACATAAGTCCTCCAAAGAAGGAGGAAAGGAACGTCGCAAATGCAATTCTTTGTAGGAAGGGGAAATAATGTGGGGAAAAGATGGAAAGCCATCAACCTAATAACAAACCGAGTGAGGACAAAGACCGGAGGGTGTGGAATGGATAAGTAGTAAGTGGAATCAACATTATCACAACGGTTCTTCAAATCCACACGGAATGGAGGCCACAAAGTGGCACTTTTGATTCTTTACAAGATATGGATATGGATGCCAAAAATAATGCAACTTCGAAGAGTGAGACGTATCTCAACAAAAACCCCCTTCCTTAAAAGCAAAAGAGAACGCTCCAATCATTCCATGGACCCAGCAGATGCAATTGAGGGATTTCGGGAGACCAGGTTCACAGGATGACATGCTTCTGACGTGGAGAGATCTCCAACTTGTTCGCTCATCTCCTCATTCTCTTCTTCTTCTTCTTCCTCACCTTCTCCTTTGCTTCCTTCCATCCCTTCCATCTCTTCTTTCTCTTCTTCCTCCTGAGTAGCTTCCAATTCCTGCCCTGAGGTAACCACCGGAGCATCGGGGGTGGATCGTGATTCACCAACATCTTGAGCCTCCTCTGAGCCATCATGTGGAGCATCTGGATACTCCAGCTTGATTGAAGACACTTGATCAGGGAACTCAGCCTTGATGGAAACCCCATTCTCGGTTTCTGCCTTCACTCCTCCACGGGCCTCTGCGAGCTGTCGAGCATTGAGCACCATACGGCCAAAGGACTTCCTCGGCGCCGTTGGGATCCCAAGCTTCTTGATCTTGGCGTACAAAGTTCGAGAGGGAATCCCGTAAATCTTTGCAGCTGCAGTTGCACTCATCCCTGATTTGACCACATCGATGGCTCGTTGCAAATCGGCTCGATCATATAGCTTATATCGCTTCCACTCTCGGGGTGTTGAGCCTGGAAATGAAGTTTTACACAGTGAAGGTATGACGACACAGAAATAACGAACTTAGTGATGGGAGCTCTTGTGGGCACTCCCATATGTGTACAGACAGGTTATATGAATGATCCAGCATCTAAGAAGCACTGTACTAAATATGACTACCTATGTAATACACGTCCATACTGCATCAAAGCATATTATTGTCAGATACTGAAATCATAGAATGAATTTGCTAAGCATAATGCATTTCACATGCTCCAATATTAATACATTATCGAGTCTTAAAATCAGAAGCAACATGGATTCAAACTCACTATTTCCTTTACGAGATGAATTTGAATGTGATTTTGATGGACCAGACTTAGGAAGGATTGGAGTGTACTGCAAAGATGATGGCACTTGAAAACGATCCATGGGGATAGAAGTCTAGAAGGAAAGAAATAAGAGGGGAATGAAAACCAATCACAGGACTTTGAGGTAATTAAAAACTACTTCCAAAAACCAAAAGCTTAGCAATAAGAGCATGCACATTGGAAAACAGCCTAGTAAAACAGAGCAAGTAAGAAGCGGCCTGATACCTTGAGTTATTCAATTTATTTACATCAGTGTTTATCTCTGGATAATATCAGGCCGGCTGTGTAACTACCAGTACACAAGACACTGAGAATCAATTTCAACTATCAAAAAGTCTATTAAAATTCCAATTTCCCTCATCATTTCAAAAGAACTGAAGGTTGCTTTCTCCTTTCAGCTTGTTTGACAGCATTTATATCTGGGCTTGGGATTTTTCTTTTCTTTAACACTCTCATGGGCAGTAGGAAGATAACTTTCCATTAAATGTTCAACCCTCCCCATGCTCTGGGAAGGCTGCACATAAAAAACTGCTCATTCTGATATATTTGACAAAAGCTACACTGGATCTAGTAGGCAAGTAGTAGTAAACCAAGTTACTAGTCTAGCTGGTCCTTCCCATTTGCCTCCACCAACTGAACTCATTCATTTTAGAACTCCATTCCAATGCCATACAAGGGCTAGTCAATTAGCTATGAAATCCCACCCCCTTGCAAATTCATTGCATATGAGAGGATTGAAAAAAAGTTGCATCTTTAAAGTATTTTGTGCATTTAAACAACTCTATTAATGTGTGCTAATTCTGCATTTTTCTGGTTCAGATATGACTGTTTTTATACAGTGCTTCCACACCTATGAAAGCAGAGGTACAACATGACAAAACTTTACTGGGAATTCCAAGATATAAGGATATCTGGCACTTCACTCATGACAGAATACTGAGTACCCACACCAATATTCAACTGCCTTACAATTATACTTACAGAAAGGAGTTCTAAAGGATGTCCCTGAGGTGATGAAAATATGTCCCTGGACAAGGAATCTTCAGAGGCACTGACCATCTCACTCTGCACAAGGGAACCAAAAATGAAGATACATTTCAATATTTTCAAGTCAAAGTCAAAGTCACTCTGAAAGTACAAACTTTCAGAGAAACATTACCGAAGATAGAGAAACATTATTTCATAGAAACATTACCTGAGAACTTTCTTGAGCATTGTAACTATTGGCTCCCATGTCATCATCCTCTTCCTCATTGAGAGGACTTCCATTTTCTCCATTTGTTGGGAGCCCCTGAGTTCCGAGGGCTGTTCGTAATATGGGGTGTTGTGAAGTAGGATTGCGTTGGTGTCTGCTTAGATCACTGGGAGAGTGTGGGGATTCGCAGCCAAACCGAGGAATGCAAAGATTCTGGAGGAGGAGAGAGCTTCGAGGGTCATTGGTTGGCCCATTGGGAAGGCTCAAGGGAATGGGGGGGACTTTGAGAGTAGACTCAGGTACAGGGATGGGAGGACTGGCAGGTGATGAGGTCAGCTCCTTGGAAGCACCCCCACTTCCCAGCCAGCTGGAGGTAGGGGTTGACATTGGACATTCGTCGGATTCCACCAGCCCTTTGATTTTGAGCGTTTTGGCGACTTTCATCAATGAGAGGAAATCATCCTGAGATATGTTCACTTCTCCTTTGTACATGAAATCCAACAAGTAACGGAACACTTGATATTTGATGTCCTTCAGCACCACGATTGGATGCTGGCAGGGATTGTCGAGGAACAACTTCTGAAAGTATGGGGAGCAGGCTGCCAGCACCATTTTATGACATTTGAGGGATGCTCCATCACAAGCAATTGTTACATCAGTGAACGCCTCCACCTGAAGGAGCTGGTCAAAGACGCTCGACAGGTTAGCGTGGTGGTTGTTCCATTTCAGCTGGTAGTGTTGACTGGAGCCCATTTTTTTCTCTTTTTCACAGTGTTGATGCCCAAAATTTGTTGGAATGCCAGCACTCATGATATTCCACAGACCCTACATTATAGGTCTGTTAAGGGACTCATCCCTTATAGTATTCCCAACCCTGCCCATTTAATATATGACATGATGTTTTATATCTGTGAGGACAATACAGAGAATATTAAAACCATATGAACACAGGAACTGACTTGATCATACATCTATGAACTTTGTTCTCTGAACTATCTAACCAGTCAGAGATGAGTTCAGATTCAGATAATCTGCAATCAGGTTTAGATTTAGTACTCTCTATGTAAACTTTTGGTTTATTTTGAATAAGAGTTGAAATATAAGGTTTACATGTAAGAAATGTAACATGGATTAATGCAATGAAGTTGACATTGGTTTTGGTTATGAACAAACTTGTCAATTTTTTCATTGCATTTCTTGAGTAAGTAAAATACTGGTCAGGCACAGATTGGACTGACCTGGTAAAATAAGATCAGAATTCACCTCTGATAAAAGTCATCAGTAATTGCTAGCCACACTACAGCTGTTCACATGATCTTGATTCTGAATCAAATACTTTTGTATAAGATTAGCTTAGTGACTTGGAGATGAACTATCATATCATTTCAAAACCAAACCAACCAAGGATCCATCTGTCAAAATTGTAAGAATACGTTCATAAAATTCCTACATAAGAGAGACTGAACAGATTTTTAAAATATTAGAATTCATATGAAGGTTTGACGAATTCAATTGAACTCATGCTCCACTAACTAGGAAGTGAATGCAAAAATGAATGAAGTCACTCCAGGCCAGAGGTGGCTCATGATATGTAGCAGTAGTAGTTTGTCAGTGGAGACGGAGGAGGCTGACCTCTCTGTCTTCACTGATGAACCATTACTGTTGCATGAGCTCAGTTCCTTAAAAATTTACTTCAGTTTTAAGCTTCAGCTATGATACTCAGGCTTGGCCAATAATGATAAGGTACTAATAATGTAAAGATTACTGTGAAAATAGGTTGACCTTGGGCTTCATCATCAGCACTTCCTCCACCTACTCCTTTTAGCCTTGGTTCATGGCCTTAAACATGGGACCAACAAATTTTTCCATCGTTAACTCTACTAACTCAATCCAAAAACATATGTTCTAATTTATTTAATATGCTAAGGCCTACCCCATACAGCCTACTTAGGTATAGGCCTAACGTAATGTTGAAGTCAGAATTTAGCCTTGGCTTAACGTTAGGCTAAGACAGATCAATAAAAGGCAGGCAGACCTGAGCGTATTTGTTTTGGCCTAACACATTAGCTCTCAAAAAAAATTTTAGTGGGGGGGGGGGGGGGGAAGGTGTGCTCCTGACATGAGGGGTATGCGAAAACGGATTCATCTCTAGCCTTTCTTTTCCACAAATTGACTGTTTATAGGCTTACAACAAGTTAGTGTGTGCCAAACCACACGAAAAGGATGGTATTCATAACGCCAACTCAGGTTATCCTAGTCAAGGTCTTCAGCCATCAAGCTTGAAGCCAAGCTGAAAACCCGCATCTGCGTGTTATGAGCGAGCATGAATCCATGTACCGTACCTACAATGATTTTTTAGGATCGTCAGCTCTTTTTCGCATTAAAAGTAAGCTTCAGTCGATGATTTTCGAAAGAAACTAGAGTCTGGAGAGTTGCAGGTGATGGGAAAGTTGGCAATCACGAGATCACGTCGTAAATGGCACTGGCATCTTCGACAGTCGAAATATGCATGATATCAAGGTCGAATGGATAATGCCTTCCTCGAAGCAGCTAACGGGAGGAGGTATCCAGGTGAAATATAGAGAGTCACAATTTATAAATTCCAATTCAATATCAGAGAAATATCTGAAGCTTGACAACGTTTATGCCTAATATTATGATTAAAGTTCTACGGGCCACACACACTTCTTCGTCCAATAGAGAGATGGCGCTCTGCTCCGCCTATCCTGCTAGCTGTTACTCTCAGATACTGCTCTAACGGAACCACATGGCGAGGCAGGTATTCTCACGATATGATCTGAGAATTTGGTGGGTCAGAACGTCTAGGACGAGAGGTCTTGTCGATAGTGATTCGTTCTTCAAACTCATAGGCAGTTCGTTGGCTCCTAACAGGCCCTCATGCGTAAATATATACACATTCCAGGATCTTTCCAATTTCAACTTCCCGAGTAACTCATTCATTGGTGGGCTATTTTGGGGAAAATGTATCCTACAAAAGAAACTTTTATTTATCCTTCCCACAATATTTGATGTTTCTGGTACACATGAGTTATTCCAGTACCTTAGTAGAATGTGATACTCTGAAACATGGATGAATGCACATGCAGAAACGTCACGACGTATATATACGCACGTACCATTGGAAGAGTTAAGCGGGAATTGTTTTATGCAGGGTTCACCAACGACGACCCCTTTCTGCATTATCTACACATGTTTTCAGACTCAAAGTCTCATACCATTGCTGATAAGTCTCAGCAGGAAACAACTTGTTGATGGAACTGGAATTAGTCTTCTGCGATAAATTTGCGCATTCTGGAGCAAATGCTGAGAGTAATGAATTCTCTGATGCGCAGACCTCTTGATGAAAAACTAACAAGCAATCACTTTGAAATTGCATCATGGCACAACACATTTTATTACTTCATCTATGGGTTGCTGTCAATGACTCAAGAAAGATACAACAAAAAAAACAGCTGATAGATATTCATTCAGATAAATGAACTTCAATACTGGCTATTCACCACAAGCATGCAAAGCCAGGGATATCCTGATATACTAGGAGCATTGGCATGCAACATTTAGCTGAACTGCAACATTTTCCCATGGCTGAATTCAGTATGAAACAGCCCGATGTAGTTCACACTACAGGAATGTTACTTGTCTTGTGTGTAATGCAGCCTGTAATGGTTAGAGGTAGCTGGTTACAGGTTAGTCTTAGCAACATGATTTGTACCAAAATGTCTACAAAATTCAGAAAGATTCTTCAACTTCAATTTTAAATTTGACATGCCAAGAATTGTGCAAATTTGAATGAGATGAACCAGTTCCACATGATGCCTCCTAGTCCCCAGATGAATAAAGCAGGCCAAGAATAGGAGTTGTCCCAAAAAGGACAAAGAAATGATGTAGAGGAATGTGGGTGCTTGATGACTGGTTTCATCAGGGACTTTTGGTGGTAGGCTACTTGGATGGCTCTGGAATCATTAACCAACTTATTTCTTCTGATGAATCCCATAAACTCATGGCTTTTTTCTGATTATTTTCACCTTTTGGGGACAGAGAAAACACAAGGGACTCGGTTCATCTCATTCAAAGTTGTCCTATACACCTATGCATTTCTATATAAATTGTTCATCGAAACATCTGGCCTCTCCTGCTTCCTTTTCACAACCCCTAAAGGGAGGTCCATGCTCCACAAGGAATTGGTGGGAAAATACATGCAGCATGGGATAGCTTTGAACAGATTCAGAAGGCAATGAGCTATTCCAAAGTACAAAATGTATTTTTATGCTGGTTAGCCCCAACATTGCTAACATGCTGCAGATCTCAGAGTGGAGTATATAATTATGAACTATATCATATCAGATCCATGGGAAGAGACCAGCAGAATTATTTCAGGATATATCATGAATTAATATGGAAGCTATTACAGAGAAATGCACATGTAGAAAGAGAGGCAGAAAACACCACACAAGGATGACAAAATGGTCAAGGTTGTTTCATGATTAGAAGGGAGCACCATTAGAAAAGGCAGCTGGAACTGATTAAATAATTTCATTTTAAAGAAAGGATCATTATCATCAAGGAGTAATCATGTGAAAGCTTGCCTTGCCCAGAAAGACCTCAGAAAAAATAGCTAATGATGCCTATTTCTCCATCTATTCCTCCTATTAGTTCTATAGCCACATTCAATTATTATTTCATTGAATGTGGCTGCAGAAAATTTACTTCTCTAGTATTTTATTGGCAGTACAGCTAGCCAGAATAACTTCCAGGGCTGACTTCCCACTGTAAATGTACTCCCACAGAGAGTCAAGGGAATGAAAAACTTGCACAGGGATGTACCAAGTATTAATTTACAAGACAAGAAATAAAATTTACTTCTTAGGAGGAAAACAAACAAAAAGGTGGTCAATTGGGGAAACATAAATCAGGACAACATTCATCCTTTGTCGCAACAGTTATAAATAAAGAGCAACAAAATGCAATCATATAAGCATCTTTTGGGAAGAGATGACCTCAAGTTGAATATTTAGCAAAGATCATAAAACCACCTTTGATGAAAGGGGAAGCATGGAATTACATAAGTCAGAGCAGGAGTTGCCCACATTGACCAGCTCACACATTTATTGATGATCTTAAAAAAGCAAAAATAATGCAATTCTGCTTTTTTTGAGAGAAGAGCAATTCACCATTTTCTCATCATAGAATGATGATTTTGAAATATCTGCCTTATACTAGATGGCAAATAGTCTCAAGTGCTTTGTGCAAAGACCTCAACTTAAATTATTAAGAAAACAGGGTGAATTCTTGCTCTTCTGAAAAGACTCAGAACTGCATATTTGCCATTTTGTCATATCATCAATGACTTTGGTATTTTCTGATAGAATAATACATAGAAAAACTAAGGCAACTTTTTCAACGCTAGCAAAATATCACAAGAGGAAGAGTTACAATCATGAGCGCTTCACAATACAACAAGAAACATCAAATCACATATAAGATAAGTGATAAGTCGCAAAGAGGAGATAGATTCATCATGTTTGTACTTAGTGAATTAGCAAAAAATATACTGCATAAAGTGCAAGAGTGAAAATACAATAAAGAAAGACCTAGATAATGAGATTTTTACAAAATATGCAACCAGTAACATGCACCTAGATTCCCTTGGCACTATGGATACCATACTAGCTGCAATGTTAGTTACTTTGATGACATGGCAACAGCAATACTGTCTGAGCGAAAAAAAATTTGGCACTGGATATATGTAAAAGGTAGCACCAGTAAGAAAAGGTTGGAAGATCACTATGTGTAGTCATAGGATCTGTAGGTGTGCATGGGCGATTTAGTACGTCGTTGAAGGCTGCAGAATAACACCAATGATGACAGAAGCCCAAATAGCTACATAAAACAATAATATTTTCAATATTTTCACTCATCATAAAGAAAATGAGGAACTAGAATGGAAGAGAAATATACCTGAAGTGCAGCCAAGAAGACACCCATAATGGTAACAATATGAACCCGTTCCATGAGCCAGTCCTTCAACCTCTCATAGCAGCCACTAGTGTGGAAGTGCCCTGGTTCAGCTGATACTGCACAATTATTGGGTCCATAATCCTGGAGTGCCTCTGGTGTGCAACAGGAGGGTGGAACCTGGCTTTTTGTTGGCCATGCATGAATACCATACCAATCCTCATATGAATCCACACCACAACACCCAAACTAAAGAAAATACACATAAGCTCTATCAAAATAACTCAACTATTTTTTTACAATAGCAACCAGCAGTAGGAGTACATTGTCTGATCTATCGATATGCCAGCAGCATTGTATTGAATCAAGACCCAGTAAAAATTTGCATTGCTTCATATTTGTGGAGCTTTACATCACTCTAGTTATGACTAGGAAAGGGCTGCTGAATGGAACCAAAGCAGAAAAACAAAAAAAAAACAGGAATGGAATGGTAAAGTTGGCCTGAATGGTACAAATACTGCCTAGCTGATATGATGAAGATAGCCAACCAGGGCAGGGTAGCCCTTGTACAGTGATTGGCAAATTACAGTAATTGAGTTGAATCACAAATAGCCTAATGGTGACAGACTACTGAAAAATGGAAATGACTACCATTTTATGGGAAGTCTGCAGTGAAATCAATGTGGTGAAATTACAGTAGTTCATTTACTGCAGTGAAGTTCTTATAATTCAAATTACAGTAATGTGCCCATCACTGGCCCTGTATCAATATAATTAAACAATTGGCACCATTGAAAATGGGAACATTCATGTTGATAGCCTTTGCTTCAAATGAAACAAACTGGTTTATAAACATTTTCTTCCAACTTACTTTTTATTCACATAGTCCTTTTTATAAATAAGAAATACTGAAAATGAAAATGGAAAATTAAGCTTCTTTGCTATTTACGATCAAATAAATGTATTTGTTTTGAACTTAACATTAGAGTTGCAAGCCATCTCATAAACAAGCCTGTTTTAATTGAATAAATCTGAACTCTTTCAAATGATTCTGGAATGGGATTCAGTCACCTGAATCCCATATAAAGCTATATGCCTACAAACAAAAAACACCACAGATATTATGACTAGGATTGCGAACATTTTTTGAAGCTTTTGACCATTCACAAGATTCACACAAGGCTACAATATTAAATATCTGGGTTTTCTGGGTTTGTAATGGAAACTGTCATATTTAAAACTTAATTGAGGATACTTTAAAAAAAATTGTTCCAATTGGTTAAAATGCTCACCTGTGTTTGGAGACGGTCCCAAAGCTCATCAAAAGTATGCTGAGTTGTTGTATTGTAATGGAATTTAATTCCTTCCTTGAGTTCAGCTCGCAAACCATCATGAACACCCTCTTGGTAAACAAGGGCCAAGGTCACAGCAACAAGTTCCACGATGCAGATGAATATCACAAGCACAAAATACTATGGGGAAAATGAAACATTGCATTGATTTCAATCAAACTCCAAGGGGATTGAGCATACCAGTACTAAACTCATTATTTAATTAGTCTACTTTGTATGCCACTATGAAGGCTTGCTTCTCATTATTTCCAAAAGAATAAAAAAAATATTGGTCATAACAAACAAAATGGTAGCTTCAATGAACTCGTACTGTAATCAACATGCAGCGATTCTGGAACCAGGAGCCGCAACAGCCAAAGAAAGTGGTGATAAAGGTGATGATCCCTGCTGCAATACAGAGACTGTCAATACTGAAGAGGCTCAGCTGTGGAAGCAGGAGTGCATAGCCCTCATGCACTAAGTGAAGCCAAATCCCAATGCCAAGGATACCGCATCCAGCCACCTATGAATGAAATGTGTGATGGATAATGTGCAATTCTTCTAAGCCCTCAGAGGAGTTTACCAGTACATATATACTACTGTATGCAAGTACCACCAACTCATATATTTACATCTCCAAAGTTCATGATTTTATAGCAAGTGGTAGATAGTGACTTCACCTTCATCACTAAATGTACTACTTGGCAACTCCATAAATCCCACCAACCAGAAATAAATTTTACCAATAAGTAAGCATTCATATGAGAACATTTTTGGGGAGCAATATGCCATAAATGATGTAAGTGAAATGAGTTACACCGATACTGAATTTATGCTCCCAAAAATACATGGAAGAAACATGCAGGGACATTTTTAGAACTATTGGTCAGAGATAAAATAATACATTGCAGGAATGCATAAAGACTGCCCTTAGAAGATCCATTGCAGCAGTACACTACCAACTTATTTCAAAACTACTAATAGTTACATTGGGTTTACCACAGAAAATATTTTAAGTAATAAAGTAGTGTTGTAAGTAGCACAACTGTAAAGTCCTCTGTAGAGCCTAGCCCTGTAGAGTTCAGGGAGCTCAGTTATGAGGGTGCTGACCTTTAGAAATTCTCACCTACATGAATTAACTTCTTTTCCCCAAATTTTCATAGCTTCTCTCTCCCTCCTGTGACACGAATGTGCAATATTAAGGGGTGGGCTAGGCTTGCGAAAATGCACTTATTCATGATGAGTTTGGAGGAGAGATTCACATGGGATAAGCCCATCCAATGGGGGGGGGGGGGGGGGGGGGGGGTCCTGAAATGATTACATTAATTGGGGGGATGGGTGATAGGATTACATTCTCAACCATCGTTGGTCCATCCACTATTTTGAGGTAACTTTCCATGATGTTCCCATTACATTAATTGGGGTGATAGGTACAGGCCAAATTCCTGAAGGGGGAAGCATTTAATCCAACATTCTTGTGTGATGTACAGGGAAACCTGGCTTACAATTCTTTCAATGTCAAATGGCAAATGATTTCATTCTTCAACAACACTTCAAGAAAAAAAATCGGACTTAGTTTTTGCCCTTATCCTAGGTAATGTAATGGGAACATCATGGAAAGTTACCTCAAAATAGTGGATGGACCAACGATGGTTGAGAATGTAATCCTATCTGTTTACAGAAATTCCTATTTAAAAATATTCAACTAGTGTCCATTTATACACTAGGCCCTGATCTCTAACTTTGAGTGAAGCTTAATGATTAGCCTACAGGGTTTATGAATTTCTTTCCATGGAGCAGTTGTCAATGGTCAATCAGTGATTAGAATTACTAAGTGAAGAGACATCAAATAATTCTAACCACTAATTGCAAAGAGGTATTTTGATGTGTGAAGGGAATGATGAGATACTCCTACCTGTGCAAGGAACTACTACTGCACAAGCAGAAGGTAGAGCCCATAGAAAAGCACGAAGCATATGTGAACAGGGTAAAAGCCAATCCGGAAACATTGTAATAGCTACTCCTTTCATGTATAATAAACACCCCCCCAACCTGGCCTAACTTAAGGAGCAACACAATAACCCTAGGGGGTACGCACTTAACCATGACACTGTAATAGCTATACTAGGGCGAAACAATTTTCGATTGAATATACCCTTCCCAGCTTCTAACGTTAATGTATGAGACATAGTAACTTAGAAGACCTTCGGAAATTAACTAAGGAACCTCACCCAAATAATACAGTTGAGGAGGCAAAAGGAATGTCGTAGAATCCTGTATCCTTTCTTTGCCATTGTATTCTACTGAGTAGAAGTGATCGGCAATGTTCTTAGGAGGTGGGGTCAGAGCAGTTTGCTGCAGTGAGATCCTAATTGTGCAACATGTGACACTCGTGCGCCACCATGACGGCCTGCATGACGTCATTACATTGGAATGCACTCGCTGCTTCCGCTTCCCATAGCGGTATCCTTTCGAATGCAGAATTCTCCCGGCCTCTCCCTTGGGGGTATTTACCTTTTTTTTATTACTTGGCTTGCTAACACGAATAACAATTTGCGAGAATATTGAAAAAAGCGACCAGGCCGAATTGTACAACCAATCCCGTCATGCGATTTTCTATATTCTATTTTCAGTGGCGCAACCAAGATTTCTCCAGGGCTAGAAATTTTCTAAATTCTCCTACGGGATGGGGGTGGAAAATACATCGACGGTGAAGATGCTAATACACGTATCTCTGGATGGCCAACTTCAGAGGCACAAAAAAAAACACAAAAATTCAGAAGTTTTTATGACATTTTCTGAATACAGCAGGTATCAAGAAAAGGTAATTAACGAGGTGCACTCACTTTAGATTTGGTTTCAACAACAGATCCTGCCACCACAATGCATTTAATGGTACCAGAACCTCAAAACCTATAAATTTGGAGATATGGCCTTGCATCCTCATCATCATTCAAACAAGATGGAAGGGGGAGGGGGGAGTCCCCTCGCCACGCCACTGATCATTCTTGGCAAAAAAATAAAATTTAGGGAATGCACATTAATATTTGCAACGAAGAGCCTGCTTTAGGGATGAACTTCACAAAAAATCCCAGCCTGAATCAGTCTTGCTTATAAGAGCTTTTCAGGATGTGTAAGTGGGGAAGTCACTGACACAGGCAGGGTATGACTATGAATGGTCCCTTTCCTTGAAGAAAAGAGGAGCACTCAAAGGCATATGCACAGAAGAGAAACTAAACTTCAAGACGCTGCACTTCCTGCACTACCACACTGAAAAAATTGAGCCTTCTTTGAAAGGCTTCACAAGAATGTCAAATGTCAGATTCACCAACATATAGTCTAAATGCACCAGCAAAATGAACATTTCTTCTCCCCAAATCTTCTGGTGGGGATCTTTTCATTTTATTCCAATTTTCTAATTATATTTAAACAAAACATTTGAAGGAATACCTTCACATCAAGGCTGGGCTTCTTTGAGTTCCTCACATTCAACAAATCACAGAACAAAGCACTGCAGGTCCCTTAGGATGCATGTGTTTCCATTGGCTTGTGCAAGTCTCAGGGATCAAACATGGAGTTCCTCTAACACCACAAATCACAGTAGAAATAAGCACATCATAACCCTTGGGACCAATAACTAGAGAAACTGCCCAAGTTGTGATTTATAAGAAAGTACAAAAAGGTTGGGCAAAACAGGTTATTAGACTTAAACAAGGAAAGTGAAAATATAAATGTAGAAAGAGGGAGCCAGATTTCAGTTAAGAAAAAAAAGTGTCTTACTAATACATCTCCAAGCTTGATGACATCCCTGACAGACTGGTCACAGTGCATGCCTTTAACATGCAACTGATCACATTTCAATGGCAAAACAAGCCATTCTACAACCTACATGGCAGTTCACATCATAGTTCTCATCTTCCAAGTTTAAAAAGAATCAAAGCAAAACTAAATGCAGAGTTTGGCATTTTGATTGAAATTGATTTTAATATTTAAATAAAGATGCAAACTTGCCAACAACACAAAAGTTGTAAGGCCTCACATGAGGAATTGATCTCTCTAGGCCTGTGGCAACAACTTCAAAGTGAACACAAGAGAATCAACATTAAAATTTTTGAGGGAATAGCCATAACTCAGGAAAAAAAAAAAACAGGAAAAAATAACCCACAAAATGCAAGGATATCAACTACCCAATATCATAACCATTCAGTTAATCTCAGTCATGTCTGTGACACTAACACTGTCATTGAGGTATTCACTTGGGAGATCCATGGAGGCAATCCTATCCATCAATCCAGGATATAATACATAGTCCTCAATTGGAAGGATGCGATAAGATGCAACAGTTTCCAAAACCCACTGCTGATCAAGAATCAAAGCATGTGGATATTCTTCAGACAATCCTACAAAATGAAAAGAAAGCATTATCCTCCTTAGTCCAGAGAATTTTTCATGCAGAACATTATATAGAAATATTGGCTGCACCACTTTGAAGGGTCTTCAGAAGTTAATCTGTTTTCCTTTGCAAGCCTATACTAACTGAAAACTGGATTTTCCACTTCAATGAGTATATGTTGAATAAAATATAAAAATCTAAATGTCCAGAATTCTTGACATCAGAACTAACATGCATATATATTCAAATTTCCCATTATATTTACTTTCTACTAACTATTAACTTCCCCTTTCTTGAAGTAACTTTGTACTTTCTCCTTTCCTTTCTAACTTTTAATGTGTGAATAAAAATGGCATAATTTCAATGTAAAGAAGGAAGACAACTTCAAAAATAGTAACCTGACAGCTCACATGTATGGGAAATATGATTCCTTGATAACAACAGCAACAATCAGTCATTGACTAAGATGGATAAGCAAACCTTTACTCTCTTTCCAGTTACCTTAACCCTAGTTGTCAATGGAAAGCTCTATGACATGTCTTCCATTACATCATATCTAGATGGATGAATGAGTGAAAATCTGATTCTCACCTTGAAAGTTTATATCAGCAGTGTAAAGGCAAAGAACAACAGCAATCTGAGGTCCAGAGACAAAATTCTTTGGGCTTGATACCACCAAGCCTCCACACACTGTGATCAATTCCTATGTTGCAAGAAATACAATAATTAGTTTTCTATCTCATAACATTGACCATATCAATATCACAAATTACACTAAAATTAGTTCTCAGTCCCATGTTTGCCAAATGTTACACATTTTGTGTATCTTTGCCCATTTACTGAGCCAATTCCAATAAAACCACTCACATTTAGGGCTGCAAAGCAATCCAAATTTGCTAAAGCACACAACTCATCATGAACTTCATGGCACAAAGAAGGAAACATGGATTAAAAACCATCAATTGTGTAGATGGTTTTTAATCCAAAGCCTATAAGACTACATTACCTTTTGTAAATCACATTCCATAATGTAGAATATGATCAATGGGAAGTAAGGCTAAAAGTATGTCAAAGATAAAAAGTTAAAACCTGACTTTCATGTTAACATTTTTTACACCTTAACCAACTTGGTGGACTCAAAGTCCTCAAGTACTAAAAAATACTCCTGGGTAGGCTATAACAATGTTAATCACTTTGAAACAGATTACAACCATATCAATAGAAAAAATTTGTTAATTTCCCCATATGAAAGAGTAGAGGTGATTCCTGGAGGCAAGCAGGAAAAATTACTGTTGAAGCCAAAAAAGCTACTTTGAATAGAAGAGAAGTTGACTGCCAACTGAAAGTAGCCATCCAGTGATTCACTTTCCATAGATGGCAATATAACAGGTAACACACCAATTACTAGGGTTGAATTTGTACCACCCCACCATGCTGGAAAATAAGAAAACAAATTTCCAGAGGTTCCACTTGATCGGGTGATAGATGTAACCACCAATGTGTAATACGTCACTACCTGCAACTGATGGAAGTGCCCCAATAAAGGGGTAAAAATTCAACTGGAAACAGGGTAATTGTCAGTCATCTGCAGCCAATTTCTCTGGGGCAGCATCCTCCTTAACCCTTTCAGACCTGAATTAAGGCCACTATCAGAATAATACACTATTTTACATTTTTGAGCTCTCTTCCTATTCTATTTTAATTTTTTATGTTCTACATATTATTTTTATATTTTGCATAAATTTACCAAATCATACCATATATTATATATTATACATGTAATTACATAATTGAAGATTACAAAACTGACAGGTGAGAGAAGGCTTCCAATGGAATTGAGCCATGCAAAACTACATCCATTGTGGTGTAATATGAGGTGCAAAGTCACAAGAATCCCAATAAATTACCATAGAAACAATGAAAATGCATGTCCATTGGAATGGAAATGGGGTCTGAAAGGGTTAATTCTTCAATGGTCAATGATTTCAACCATAGTTTCTTAGTTTCAACAAATTTGGCATTTTTTCTCAAAGCTTAATTTTATAATCCTTTAAGGATTTCTCATTTGTAAGCTTGAGTCAGCTTTCTGAGATTGCAAAACAGGAATCACTAAACTAGACAGTTGTAGAAAGTACAAGCAGTAGAAGTTGAAGTAGAATTGTCCTCAATTCAAGGGGATCCCAACTTCCAAAACTGAAATAGTAGCCATAATAGACACAGATTGAAAAAAACATTGCTCAGAAATCCTACATTAAAGTTTTTTCCTTTTTTGCACAGTTTTTACTTTGTTGAAGCATGAATAGTAATAACTCCCATGGGGATAAGAGCTTACTCACTGGACAGAGATGAATAACATAACCTACCTCCATGGCCTGCCGTGATATATTTTCCAGAGGTTCCACAACACTTATCTGGACATTCCGCAATGGAAGAGGATACCCCACCCGAGCTCGGTAGGGACCCATCTCACCTTCAGCATGTGAGGCCTCAAAATTCTCCTGCAAACAGAGATCAAGCCAATCAAGAGCATACTATAATATGTATTTTTATGGTTCAATTAAATGTAAGTTTGAGTTTACCATACCTCAGGTAAGCTTTTCCCTGCCTTCAGAGACTCTTCAACCCATGAGAACCAGACAATCCATTTTCGATGTGCAACACCCATGAGAAATTTCAAAGTGATCTGGGCAACACTTTCCTTTGGGTCTTGATGCACAATCACATGAGTCACCCGTTGCTCAAAACGATTCAGAATATCAGCTCCTATTATTTTTGCAAACTTTACAACTGCTTGCATGGCTTCTCCTTGCAATAAGGAGCAGAGGAACACCAGCTTTCTCTCATTCTCCCTGTAGGGAAATAAAGGACCCCTGAAATTTCTGTCAGCACAGATGCTGAAAATAAAATTCTTAAAAAGAAGACTGAGGAATAAGTCCACTTGCTTTGATTGAGATCTAGGTGGTGCCTGAGTTGGAGTTTTAAAGAAATCCTTTGAATCTGACACAGATGGTTTTTTGGATACTTGCTCCTCATCTACTTCTTCCACATCCTGCTTGAAGATAAAAAGACATGTTCAATGGCAATCAACTCTCTTATTTAAAAATGAAGTAGGACCTCCTTGTAAACAACTGATGTCAACTCACATCTTGAAACATATCATAATCCATTTTGATGCTGACAGTGGGAGGCTCTTGAAAGAAGTCTGGAGAATGTGCCATATCTGTGGGTTTCACAGAGTGCTGCCGCATTAGGGCTGGCATGCTGTCATTCAGCATTGCTTCTTCAGTGTCAGAGCTAGGATGTGTCTCAGAGATAAATACTGTGTCAGCATCCTTTAATGACCCCTTCTTTGGTAGGTCAGGTGATTTACATTTCTGAGAAGCCTCGATAACATCAGGTTCCTCAGAATGCAGTTCCTCGACCTTGGAAACTCGACTATTGCTTTCTGGAGGTTCCCAAGCCCCCAGGACTTCTTCCAAGGTCCATGCTGACAATGGCATACCATTGGAATCTGCAGAGAGAGCATGAACTCCACTCAGGGTGCTTGCTTGTGAGAAATTTTCAGGCAAGGTCACAGCTGCCTGTTTCTGTTGCTCAGTAGAAAACACAAGAGTCTTTCGTACAGATCGAAGTCTTGAAACTTGAGTTTCTTCCATATTCTGGGGATGAGTTTCTGGAGGATTTTCATTATCGTCAGTCATGTCTTGACTTGGGATGGAAGTCTGTATTGCCTGGCTGATGGCTTGTGGTGCCATGTCTTGACTTGGGATGGAAGTCTGTATTGCCTGGCTGATGGCTTGTGGTGCCATGTCTTGACTTGGGATAGAAGTCTGTATTGCCTGACTAATGACTTCAGTTGGTGTGACTTGACCAGAAACATTCACTTCAGGTCTCTTTGTTGGAAGCTGTTCCAGTGAAATGCAAACACGTTCCTCCATGGAAGGAGATGTTTGGATTCCCATAACTCGAGTAACCAGAGGAGAATATTGTATGCTGCTATTGGTAACACTTGGAGTCGCCTGAATACCAATGTTGTGGGGGGGGTAAGGAGAAGTTTGAACCATCATATCAAAACAAAGACATGGAGGAGGTGATGTCTGCATCCCTTGATCAAAACTTCTTGGAGGAGTACATTGAGTAGCTTGATCAAAATGCAGAACTTTCACAGGAGAGCACTGGATAGCTTGATCAAAATGAAGAAGTGACGGAGGTGGAGGGGGAGACCTTGAAGGGCTAGACTGCATGCTAGTTTCTGTTTGCATTTCAGGGGTTCTAGAGTACTTGTGCTTCTTTACACCACTCTTCTCAGCTTCTGCTTCTGGTGTTCCAGAACTCTTTCTCTTCCTTACCCCACTCTGGCGAGCTTCAAGACTGAAAAAAGACAATATAGAAATTACAATATCTCATTTCTAAAGGGCATGACAAGGGGTTCATGTCATAACTACATATCAACATCCTACTTTTGTCTCCAAAAGCATGAAAGAATGCTCACCCACAGGTTTGATGTTATTTGAAATGTAGGTAAATGTAATAAGTGTTGACTACTTTAGAGCAAGGACAATCCTTCAAGGCTTGCCCATGACAACAGAGATGCTAAGTTTTTTAACTTTGAAGCAAACTTAACTTACTTGCTCAAAGCATGTCTCCCCTTAGGTGATTCCTTGATAGTAGCAGATTTAGAGACATCTGACTTTGGTGATGTCAACCACTTCTGCAATGATGACCTCCTCAATGAGCGACTAGCAAAAGGGACTTCATGTTCAGGTGATGAAGAATTAGTTTCACAGGATGAGACATCATTACTCAGTTGTTTAGCAGATCTTGCAGCTTGTGCACTAGCCCTTTTTTGAGTTTTTTTCACAGGAGAGGGGTTATCATGCAGATTTATGGGAGATGTAGGTGAAACACCAACAGAGAATGAAGCCTGCCTTGGGCTAGCCAATCCCTCTACTAGATCCATGGTAGAACTGGCATGAGAGAGAATCAGATCATCCAAATCTTGTGTTTCTGCATCCAAGGCAAATGTGTGTCGAGATGTTTTCACATTTTCAATATACTTGGATGCAGGTGTTTGAACTTTAGAGGAATGACTGTAGACTGATTTTGCTGGAGCAGATTCAGAGTCATAAGAATTGGAAGACTGACCACTGGATTGGTCCAGCCTTTCATTTCCTTCTTGAACTCCCCCCCTAGGGTCTTTTTTATGATGAACAGATATTGGAACTGCTGAAGAGATAGTCTCTATGATTTGAGAGGGATCCTCTACTAGACAGTCACTTGATGCTTCTTGAACATGACAGTGAGGGCCTAAATCCTTCATGCATTCACTCTTGTCTTGCTTCTGGGGAGTAACTCGATGCTGGACATCCAATGATGGTGACTTCTTTTGCTTGCTTTCAAAATCTTTCATCAGGGAAGGAAGACGAGACCAGCCAGGAGATCTGTCTCCAATAGTATTTTTCTTCTGCTTGCTGGTTGAGCCAGGCTTTTCAAAGTTCTGAAGCCTATCCAAGGAATGTGTTTGCATCTTTTTTGTTTTGTCTGCAAACAAAATAGATTTCTTTGAAATCAAGTTTAAGGATTGAGTGCTGGTGTTCTCAGAAACCTTTGGTGGTACATCTTCTGGAATTTTGCCAATGGGCTGACATCCAGCATTTGCAGCTAGAAGCCCGACATCATCTAGAGCATTGCTATGAGATGAAGACCCTGCACTTCTAACACCCTCCTGAGATGTTTCTTTCTCACTTTCAGACTCAGGCTGATATTCAACTTCAGGAACTTTAAAGCTGACTCTCCTACCAGGATGTTTTCCTGGTGATTCTTCAGAAGATTCTTCTAGATTGGACAGAGACATCTTACTTTCATCTAGAGAGGCTTCAACCTTCCTTTTTTTATCAGAGTATGAAATCAAAGTTGGGGATTGAAAATCCTTTTTCTTTTCCCTGTTGAGAGCATTCTGTTCAATGTCACCAAACAGGCAGTTGATACTCTCCAGAGCTCCATCATCATTTGAGGAAACTTCTTTCTTCTGTCGACCTGAGCGACGAATTGCAGCTGGCTTTTTTTGTAACCCTTTCTTAGACTTCTTGTCTTTGGAACCCAAATCAGGATCTGGACCAATATGGTCCTCCTCTCCAGTACCACTACTAGATAGTGCCATGCGGGCTGGTGTGGGGCTAACAAACAAACTTCCTAGTTCTTCTGAGGGAGGGGAATCTGCATCTAATGAATCATCAGGTGATGACCATATCTTGGCACTAGGTACTATCCCATTTTGCTGCTTATATGTTGAGGTAGGACAATGTTGAATTCCTTCCATGAGTTCATCAAAGGTATCTTTATGCTTCCTCAGTACAGTCAATGGAACAGCCAGCTTCTCATCATGTGAGGATAAGGACTTTTGTCCACGGCTGCTAGCACCAGGTTTAGAGTGAGAACCACGTCCTTTTGTTGCTCCTCCTCGGGCTTGAGATCTTCGAGTACGCTTCTTAGGACTCCTTTGGCTGCTGACAAATGTATATGGATCCTCATTTTGACTTGATTCACTAATGGTGGTGACTGGAACAGGGCATGAGTGTTCTGGTAACTGTGTACTTCCAGAATTTGACCGAGACTTGAAGAACTTCTTCTCCTCTCCAGTAGAACTTGACATTCCAAAAGGAGACAAAGACTTTCCGGATGGTCTTGATCTGTCTTTTGTCTTCCCCTCATATGTGTGTTCCTCAATTACACCAGCTGTCAATTCTTGAGCAGAACACATTTGATTTTCTGGAAGAGACACAGACAGGAATATACAGCACCTTCTAGCTGCATGCAATTGACAATATGTACAATTTACTAGCGATTTTTCAAACTGTGTACAATCATTTCTGATGCCATTCATGAAAAAAGAACAAGTCTAATTCTCCAATATGTTGTTTCTAGAAGAGCCTGGGTTTAGGGAGGAAAATGTGCCTGCATAATCAATGCAGACTGTTTAGACCAATGAGAGCTCTGAGGCATGGTCAAGGATAAGAGGAACTATCAGGGTCTAACATGAGCTGAAGATTTTATTTGGAATCAGGGCATTGGAGAGAATGATTTTGGTTTCATTTTTTTTTACATTTCCATTCTCATAATTTTATTACTATTTCCTGTTCCCATAAATGATTCTAAATTTTTTTTTGGTTTCTACCACTGATTAGAACCTTCCTAGCTGATGACTTAAGTACATAAATAACCTTTTTTGGAACATATAACAAGCATTCTCATTCTTAACAAGAAAAAAAACTGATTTAGAATGCAGCATGCTTCCATTGCAGTTAAATGCATTAAATACGAGATCAGATTTTCACACCTTGCCTGCAGTTTGACAGTGAAACACCATTATAAGCTTAAATATGAACCGTGGAGAATAAGTTATGGGTGTCAGTGTTTCCAAACCTTGTGGATGGCTAAGAAGAAATATATGATGAAAACATGAAAACTTTTAAGGAATGAAAAAGCTGTCAACTAGTAATTCCATGCAGTTTATATTTCTTGCTTAACCGACGAACCTGTGTCTGAATTAAAAAAAAAATTGGCTTGAAGGTCTACCTTAATTAGCAGATTGTTGGCATACAAAGCAGATGTCTCGATTCCCAGTTAATCGACGGTTAATTGTCAGGTAACTGGATGGTTAATTGAAGTTCAGGGAAGGCTCCCAATGAGGTGGAAAATTTTCTCAAAGAAACTATTCGAAAACGACTGAAGTTTTCCCTTCCCAAGATACCTCATCCTCATGAGGATGAGTATTCTCTCATACCATCATCATGATACCTTTAAAATCTGCTTATTTCAACTTCATGTGGTAAAGGCTCGAGCAGGCCCTGGAATGTTCGCGTAAGTGTTCCAGTATTCGCGATCCTCGGCAGCGGACTATAACTTGGCAGGTGGTTAACCAAGCCTTTCGTGACGAAGGTGACACCGGCTATCCGCCGCAATAACCTCATTTCGTTGTCATTCTTTCAGTCATTGCCCAAACAAAGTTTATGATTATATGTGAGGGTGGAGATGTAAACGGTCTTAAAGATCGGAAGTTTCATCTCCATGAAAATGTCAGATTTGGAGACCACAGTCATCCAAAGTTCCCGCAAAACGACGGAAAGCCATGGAGATGAGGGAGTCGATCTCGTCTCTGTATCGCCCGTCACTCGAGAACCAAACCCCTTAGTACTTGAACTTCTCCACCTGTTCCAGTGGGTCGCCCTGCCCCCCCCCCCTCCTAACATGTAAGGACTTCTCAAGAGGATCATAACCAGTGTTTTGGGGACACTCAATTTCATTCCGGCCGCAGTGCATTCCAAGTTGTACCGATCGAGGACGCTCTGAAGCTCCTGACGAGACCGGGCCAAAAGGACAGCATCATCGGCAAAGCAAAGTATCTTCATCTCGATACCACCGATGCTGACACCCTCGAAGCCCAGACTACGCCTACACACCCTATCTACGTACACGAGGAACAGGAAAGGAGAAAGAACGCAACCTTAACGGACACCCACACGTATCGGGAACGTGTTGGAACTCGTCCCGTTCACTCGAACGCAGCTCCTGCAGTAAAAGGACTGAAAGGCCCGCAGTAGCTGACCGTTAACCCCATACTCCTGCAGCACTCCCTACAGCATCTCTTGAAGGGCACGGTTGCGTGCTTTTTCGAGATTCTGTAAACATGTAAACCTTAGGCAATTTCCATTTTCTCTCGGAAAACTTGTGAAGAGTGAAGAGCTGGTCCGTGGTGCTGTGCCCTTCGCGAAAACCACACTGCTCCTCTTGGATGGCCTCTCCGACTGAACGAACTCTCTTTTCGAGCACCTTGGCATAGACCTTACAATGAATGCTAAGGAGAGTGATTCCAGGGTATTTGGTGCAATCCCGCGAGTGCCCCTTTTTTAAATGGGTAAATAAGCAGACCACACCGGTCTGCCAATCCATCGGTGCAGTCCCGGATTCCCACCGATGTCCATTCCCAAGTGTTTCCTTCACTCCACTACCAGCAGGAGCTCTAATTCATATCTCAATAGGGGCCGTTCACAAATTACGTAACGCAAGAGGGGGGAGGCAGACATTTGGAGGGAGACACTTTGTCTGATCCCCTCCCCCCTCCCCCTTGCGTTACGTAATTTGTGAATGGGCCCATAACTAATTTACTTTCAATAATTGCCAATAGTATTGCTTTGGCTTGAAAAATAAATAGATGAATTTTGAGTATCAGTATGAAACATACTCGTTTGTGCATAGTGAACGCTTCGTGAAAATAGCTCCAATGTGAGCATAGATATCTACGTTGAAAGTCGTCGGTCATTTTTTTCCCCATGTCCTGGAAATCACTTGCCAGGTGAAGCAGTTTGGAATAGTTTTCGCTGATCGCCTTAGCCAACTCGTCGCGAGTGTTCTCAAGGCCAAGGACTAGCCACCTCCACACTTTATCCTCGTATTCGCTGCCAAGGGCCTGTTCCATGGAATTTACAAGTAATTACATGAGTCGTGCGAAGACCCAGCAGGAAGAGTTAAACAAGAAGACACGACCCTTGCAAGTACTTTTAACTTGTAGAACTTGTAAATTCCATGAAACAAGTCCCAGGTTCTGCAAGTCAGCCGAAACGATCACGTAGTCCAGGGGTCAGCAACCTACGACCCGCGAAGAGGTTTCATCCGGCCCGCCAAGAAAAGTGATTTATTTCATTATATATTATTCATTCTTTTCAAAACCTCATCCTCCCTACTCCGGGCAGATCGACGCTACGATCAATTAAACACTCCGGCCTGCCATAAGGCCGAGCCGTGTTAATCCGGTCCACGAGTAGTGAAAGCTTACGAAAAATCTCCCTGTAGTCCACCAGGGGACTATCCAAATTCTCCGGGGGATCCGCATGTGGACTGACAGCCATGTGGAATAGTGTGGACTTAATGTGGACTGATGTGGACAAGTCCACAGGGGGACTAATGTGGACATAAGAATATCCCCGTGTGGACTCTATGTGGATCCTCTTAATCCACATGTGGATCACATGTGGATTCATCCAAATCCTCCGGTGGACTTAGGGTAGTCCACATGTGTGGATTATTCATAAGGAATCGCTCTGATCCGCCTTAGATTCAATCGAATCGGTGTCTGGTCTGCTGTTCAGATCTACGGACCGAACAAGTCGGATGGCGTCCTCGTCTTGCCGATAGGGGACTTCAACGCACGAATTGGAAAGGGTGAAGCTTCGTGGAAGGAGGGGAGGGTTGTGGTTGTGATAGGTCAAATTGGAGAAGCCACACTTGATGCGAATAACAGAAAGGTTCTAGATCTCTATGCTGGCAATGGACTGACCATCTTTTTTCAACACGAGGATATGCACAAGTATGCCTGACTACAATGACTGTCGGACTGCTACTGTGTGCCAGCAGTCGCCGATCGACTATGTCAGGGGCCGGCAAGCTTTCACTACTCGTGGACCGGATTAACACGGCTCGGCCTTATGGCAGGCCGGAGTGTTTAATTGATCGTAGCGTTGATCTGCCCGGAGTAGTGAGGACGAGGTTTTGAAAAGAATGAATAATTTTGATCGCTGATGGGTTTCCATTCAAGGACGCTGTCTGCCAGCAGGAAGCTAACCAATTTCCCCACTCTTGCCTGGACAAACGTAGTTGGATCTACTTCGTTCCAGTAGAGGATACATCGGTGATCTAGAGCTGTGGTTCCCACACTTCTTTGAATCGCGACCCACTTGCTGACGTACAGAAAATTTCGCGATCCACCGAAATCAAGAACGAGGTATTTTCAAATTAATTATTACGTGATTAATTATTATCGACCTTTGCTGCAGGGCATGTTTTATCCCGAGCGGATGTGGAAGTAGTGATTTTTCTTATACTGGGAAAATGTACGCGACCCACCTTGATGCCTCTCGCGACCCACAGTTGGGAACCGCTGATCTAGAGTACTGGAACCCTGGCTTTACTCGTGGTCAATGCTCGGCTAACTATTTCTAATCGAAGTTTATTAGCCTCTTCCAGGAGTTCCGGCTCCTAACCGCCGAGTGCCAGCAAGTTCCAAGTCCCGATATCCGAAGTGCGTTGTCAAAGTCGCTTACAGTGTTTCTCAGTGAGTTTCACACGTCTTGCAGAATGCTAGGAACTAGCGTCTAAATACTCCGCAACTCCCTCAAAATGAACCGCACGCGTTACATATTGTTTCGTACACCCTGCTCTCCTCCACTCCTCCAGTGCTGCTCAGAATGGCAAGACCACCTGGCAACCCTGATGGGAACAATGTCCGGGGCCCTTGAAACAACGGCTGCATTACAAACCCTCCCACGAAAGGCATTCCTCAGTCACGCGCTTGGTCGTCAAGGTGTCCAGGCGAAAGAGGAGCATTTCTGCCGCATATATCTTTTTTGGTATTTCAACGATAAGAATTCCTACGCGTGGAACTCCTTTTCAATCTACTTATGGGTCTTTCCATGGAGTACTCTTCAGTGCAATCCGTGAATCTGGGCGCTCGACATCCATCCATTCTGAAGACTATCGACAAACCATGCATTCCTCTCTCCAAGGGTTGTCTAATGGAGGTGTCATTAGGAGTGGCACTTGCTCGTTGAGCGGGAGGAGGGAGTACAAACACGTAACACATGCGGATCATTTTGAAAGGAGTACGAAGCAATATGCCGCTCGTGCGTAAAATTATGCGGCAGGTACGAAAGTCAATGGGAAACACTGTACCACTTCGTTCTGTATCAAGACTGCTCTTTGAACATCGTGCCGAAAATACGCAATAGGAAATGACAGGCCGACTGATAGATCTGGATGCCATATATATTTCACTTACGATTAGTAAGAAAGGATAAAAAGGATATCCTTTTCTAGAGGAATCCTTGAGAGCCCAGATGAGACAGGAAGTCATCAGACATGTGGAGAAGAATGTAACAATGGGAAAGTGGGGAAAAAGGATTGGCAGCGTTACTGAGTCCCATTTCCCTTAGAATTCATCTTATCTATACAGGAAATTAAAAATAAGGGATAAGAATGGATCATATATATATATATAGAGAGAGAGAGAGAGAGAGAGAGTGAGAAGGGCGATGTTTGCTTCTTTTTTTCACCTCTTCTGTCATGATCAGAAGAATTTCCCAATGTCATGCCTGAGAGACATCCGGATTTTTTAAATGCCAAAGACTAGGATATATGATAGTGGTTAATCTAAACAGAATTTAGTAACTGCTGGAATAGGACTGGCCAGTTGACCATTGAGGTTCCTAATGCAGAGTAAAGGCAAAATGCCAAAAGAAATGAAGACATAAGTAAAAGAAAAAACTCAATAAGAGAAACACATGGGACTAAGAAGTGGCAAAAAATTCTGAAATTAATGCTACATATGAACCATTAGACAGTAATGACATGTCATTGGCTATTTTCAGGTCCTACTTCCCAAACTACTCTACTTATCAACTCTGAAATAGGTAACTAAATCTTCAAAGCCTTTGCTACAAAGAATCACAATCAGGTCCACTTACCATTAGGTTCAATGTCATCATCTGACCCAAGATAGGAACTTAAATCTTGTGCTTCTTTCACTAATTTCCACAGTTTCTGTTTCTGGTGACCAGACACACTTGGCTTCATGAACGTTGACTGGCAGAGTGGGCAAGGTGACCCACTATGCATAGGAGCACAGAGCTCACATACATTGTGACTGCACCTTAGCTTCACTGGGTTTTGTAGGAGCCCCAAGCTAATTCAGAGAAACAGAAATGACCCTAAAATCAACTGAACCAAGGGATTATCTAGACCTAATGTTATGAGGTAGAGTTGTGCCTGGCAATGAAACATGTTCATGGTACACCATAAATTGAGAGGGAAAAAATTCATCTGATAACTTGTTCTAAGGTGATGCAGGAGGGTCAGCATCATCATCTATAAAATAATAGCCGACGTCTTACGTCCGCTGGAGGCCTGCATGGGTCGACTTTCCGAACTAGACCCGATTCAAATTCTGGACACCACCCAACACTGAACTTTATCCCCGTACCAACCTTAACGGACCCGACCCACGGTTCGTGTCGGGCCGATCGGGCCAGCCCGCTTAGGCCTCTCAGCTTCAGTACTGGTCTTTGGCTACGTCTTCTTTCTAAGCGATTCTGCTGGCTCTGCTGACGCTTTCAACATCCCATGACGTCACATTCGTGCCGGTCTGTTGCGCATTTTCCTAGTTCATTACGTTCCGCTGGCAGCTGATTGCTCGAGAGTGACGTCATTTAATGACGTGATCGCGTCGAGCGCTGACGGAACGAATTTTCCTTTTTGTCAGCAGCTGTAAGCGGCTGGAGAATAAGATCCCTCTGCTAGCGCATTCGCCTGCACCCGACAGGTATCTTGATTGCGAACCGAGCTGCCGGCCCGATCCGCGGGATCCAATAGAGCTGAAGGTCATATGTGAAGCTGGTTCTTTTGAAATATAAAGGCAATCTGTACCCATAACCCATGTTGCATACTCTGGCTAAGAGTGTGAGTTAACCAAAAAAGTATACCATTATATCCATTCATAATGGATATAATAATTTCCTTCAAATTAGGAGGAATAAATTATGCTAATAATTTTTTTTTTCTTTCTTCATGGTTTTTCTTTCTGTTCCATATCTGAACCCTTGCTTTAATACAAAATTTCATTTTGGGTATGCTTCAAGTTCATCAGAAAGGGTTTCTACTTCACAGGAATGAATATCCTGACAATATGTGAACATAGGAATGACTTGGAGCTTTCTAGGTACAGCAAGTAGCACTTCATAATCCATGCTCTGCAAAAGATACATCAAGAACCTTCCCCATTCAATCAATTACAAGATACCCTTAAGCTTTTTTTTTTTAATTTGCCATATCTAAAACAGTTGTGCACATCAGTATTTACACTCATGGACCTCTGCAACAGTGCACTTGGAAATTCTAGAGCAGACTGTCAGAAAATGCAAAAACTGCTTTATAATAGAAAGTCAACATAATACAAAGCTGCAGCAGTAAAGACAAAGTTGAAGCCCATTATCACCAAGCACAAGAAGGGAACAATATCCTCTGTAAGGGACTCAGTAATGACTTATGGGTTGAGCAATGGCTGCAGTACATCACAGTACTGCAACTGATGCATTGAATATCTGCAACCTACAATCTGCTCTTCCAATGAAACTATCATCAATGTCCAATGGAATTGTTTGGAGACTGGCCATGGAAAAGGTCCTACCAACAATATAGGTACAGCAGCCAAGTGACTGATGGATGTCCTGGCAATACATCAAAATCATTAATGGCCCAGAATTAGACCCACTCCTAACAGATATTGTTGAAGATCAGATAATTCTGATATAAAAAGTGGCCTTCTGAAAGTATGAGCTGACTAAGACTTCTAATCTCGTCTCCTGAACAAACATATACTAGTCTTGGCAATTACAGTATTGTAACTACCATCATAGATAGTGTTATGGGAGAGACAATCATAGTAAAATTATAGTTTATGACTAGAAGTGAAAAAGCAATAGCTAAAACTTATGCTTAACATTCATGACTTCAATTCTTTGCAATGACAGTAGGGATGGTATTCCTTCATCTTATAAACACTCCCTGCAAAGAGCAACTGTTACAAACCCAGTAGGTTCACACATGTGGCAAGCAAGAATGGAACGCAGGGGTTGGAATAAGCATCCATGATAGAAATAGTTGCATTTAAAACAAATTTCAAGATTTGCAGGACACCAGAGAGTTGGTGAAATCATGAGGAGACGATGAAAAAGACTGCAAGCAAAAGTAGACAAGACATTTATTCCATTGCTCCTAGCAACATCCTTTTAACCCATTCCTGACTCAAAAGCAATATTTCATGACTACTGTACTTGAGGATGGGGAAACAACTTGTCTA